CCACCCAGAACTGAGCACTGTAGTGAGGACACCACCCAGAACCTGTGCACTGTAGGAAGAACACCACCCAGAACCTGAGCACTCTAGGACAGATACCACCCAGAAGCTGAGCACTGTAGGGAGGACACCACCCAGAACCTGAGCACTGTAGGTCGGACACCACCCAGTACCTGAGCACTGTAGGGAGGACACCACCAAGAACCTGAGCACTGTTGGAAGGTCACCACCAGAACCTGAGCACTCTAGGACAGACACCACCCAGAAGCTGAGCACTGTAGGACAGACACCACCCAGAACCTGAGCACTGTAGGACAGACACCACCCAGAACCTGAGCACTGTAGGAAGGACACCAACCAGAACCTGAGGACTGTAGGAAGGACACCAACCAGAATCTGAGCACTGTAGGAAGAACACCAGCATGAATCTGAGCACTCTAGGACAGACACCACCCAGAACCTGAGCACTCTAGGATGGACACCACCCAGAACCTGAGCACTATAGGAAGAACACCATCATGAACTTGAGCACTGTAGGAAGGACACCACCAGAACCTGAGCACTGTTGGAAGGACACCACCCAGAACATGAGCACTGTAGGAAGGACACCACCCAGAACCTGAGCACTGTAGGAAGGACACCACCAGAACCTGAGCACTGTAGGACGGACACCACCCAGAACCTGAGCATTGTAGGAAGGACACCACCCAGAACCTGAGCACTGTTGTAAAAACACCATCATGAACCTGAGCACTGTAGGAAGGACACCACCCAGAACATGAGCACTGTAGGATAGACACCACCCAGAACCTGAGCACTGTAGGAAGGACACCACCCAGAACATCAGCACTGTAGGACAGACACCACCCCGATCCTGAGCACTGTAGGACAGACACCACCCAGAACATGAGCACTGTAGGAAGGACACCACCCAGAACATGAGCACTTTGGGTCAGACACAACCCTGAACCTGAGCACTTTAGGTCAGACACCACCCAGAACCTGAGCACTGTAGGAAGGACACCACCAGAACCTGAGCACTGTTGGAAGGACACCACCAGAACCTGAGCACTGTAGGGAGGACACCACCCAGAACCTGAGCACTGTAGGAAGGACACCACCAGAACCTGAGCACTGTAGGAAGGATACCACCAGAACCTGAGCACTGTAGGGAGGACACCACCAGAACCTGAGGACTGTAGGGAGGACGCCACCCGAACCTGAGCACTGTAGGAAGGACACCACCAGAACCTGAGCACTGTAGGAAGGATACCACCAGAATCTGAGCACTGTAGGGAGGACACCACCAGAACCTGAGCACTGTAGGTTGGACACCACCCAGAACCTGTGAACTGTACGACGGACACCACCAGAACCTGAGCACTGTCGGACGGATACCTCCCAGCCTTTAGCAGGGATCGTCCACCAGAAAGCAACAGAGTCACTCATGCCCTGGACAAGGACTGCAGGTCCACCATGCCACCTTCCCAGCTGGGGACCAGGAAACCAGCTGCCAAGCAAATCCATAGGGGAGCAGCCAGTGGCACTCAGATACACAGGGCACCTGATCTAAGCACCTCCCCACCTGTCCTTCGGCCCCACCTCGGGCACTGCAGGAAAGGCCTGGGCCTGGGGTTTGGGGGCTTAACAGCCGGAGCAGAGGCAGAAGGGGCCAGGATACCAAACAGGCTGCACCCTGCCCTGCCCTCCAGGGCACGCAACTGACAGCAGGCTGACCTGCACTGTGAGAGTGCACTGTGTGCTGCCCAAGACCCAGAGTGTCAGCCTGTGGGTGTCCAGGGCACCATCCAGGTTGGGTCAGGACTGTGGCTGGAGGGGAATATGGAGTGGGGGGCTAGAGCCAGGCTTCCGCCGAGCAGAGGAGCAAAGGCCTCATTCCTGGAGCCACAGGTCCACAGGCCTTCACCACAGGCCCTCACCTGTCATGACCCCTTGCCCGCAAGGAAGACGCAACTCAGGAATCTTCTTTCAGCAGTTTATTCAGGCCCTTGATATTTCTTCTTCTCTCTCTCGCGGATGCCCCTCCCAGCCTTAATAAAGCATCCCAAGCCCCAATGCGAAGCTGCCACGTGGAGCTTTCTCATAGGGTGGTGAAAAATCATGTGCCAACTCTCCGAGATAAGGAGTTGTTTGTCACAGACCACAGCGGAGCCAGCGTCATCTTGTAATGGCGACCATAGTCTGCAGAAATGGCAGAAGCGGCTCACCACAGTTCCCCCTTTTCTGTTTTCTTAAAACAATACAGGCGAGAGTAGAGGTCCTATCCCACTGTGCAGAAGTGGCTGCATAGTATGGCTCAGTCCTAAGGAGGGCCCTTCCCCAGATCTGAGGCCATATCAGCCGACGCCTTTTTTCGTGGGGCGGGGCGTGGACGCGTCTAACCCGCATGCAATAGGACATGCTCTCCTTGAGGTCCTCGTCAAGGATCACTCAAGTGCAGTGCCTTGCCTCGCATCCTGTATCGTGACGATGGTGGACGAAGGGGGATAGCTGAGGCTGAACTGTGGCTGTTTATAAGGACAAACAAGTTGACAGCACCCTGAAAGAAAGGCACGGACTTTAAGACGATAGAAAAGCACTAGTGTGGAAACCCATCTGCGTGCAATGGCAGTAAGACCGGCAGAGTGCAAGGGCTTTCCAACACTAAGAGAATAACAAGGAAAGTCATGTCGATCCCAGTGCAATGTTATAATAACTTGGGGTGTAACGACCATGACAAAGGTTTACTGCTTAAGATGCGCAAGCCAGACTTGAGGTGAGTTGCCATTTTCTAAAGCTGCAAGAGCTTGTATGATCATAGCCTTTTTTTGTGTATGGCGAGTTTTAAGGCGACAGAGAAGCCACAAACAGAGGAACATACCGAAGCAACACATTGCACCAGAAATGCCTACCCCCACCCACTCTTTGAAGAAGGAAAAAGCAGAAGATATCCAATCAGTGAATTGACCCAAAGTCACGGGATCGATACGGGTACTGTTTAAAACGGCAATCTGAGTTAGTTGAGACTGGATCAAGTTTTCTGCTTCCATGGACCAGGTTCCGGATAGATATTCCCCGATGATGTGGGAGGCATTTCTGGAATCATAAAATCTGACAGAGGTTATACATAAATGTGCACGTTGGTCAACACAACCCAAAAGCACCAAGTCAGCCAATTCTTCTACCTGAGCTTGGAGTAAATCTATTCTTTGGTTGGCAGCTAAAATCCCTGACAAAATATGTTGATTAATTGAATTTTGGGACTCAAGTATGGTGGATGTTTGTTGAATAACCTGATTAATAGTGGCAGCAGTTTGTACTTGGCTGGCCATGGCTACTCCAGCTGTAACTGCTGCAGCAGCAGATACCGCCACAGCTGTCACTATAGCTGCCGTAATTCCAAAATCTCTACAGGCTCTAATCAGTTCAACAATAGGAAATGACTCTGGATCTGCAGTAACCGGGATCGGGACAAAGGTTGGAATTTTCATAACCACTGCCATAGGCCAGGATCCATTCCAACACTCAGACAAATAACAGGTAATATTAGAGCAATTAAGCATCCCCTGTAATGTAACATTAGCCAAAAGAAACAGGAATGGAGATTGGAGACAGACTGCTGCGGAGGGTAATGTAGCATTAAACAATTGTGAATTGTGTGAAGTAATTTTAAGTCTCCTACCTCGCTCCGAGTCTTGGGTACTGCCAGAAACATTAAACAGCCAACTTTGGACTCCCAATATTTCCCTGGGGAAACACAAGCGCGGACTAGACTAGCCCAATCTGAGGGAGTCATGCAAAATCTAGTAAGTCCCTCCACCTGAGTGAGAGTGAAAGCGGCATCTATGCCATAAGTGCGGACAGATTCTGCCAAGGTTTTAATTATCTTAAAGTCTAAAGGCTCATGATATCTTCCCCTGTTATTGTCCTGAAATACAGGGTATGCAAGTCCCATATCTGTATTAACTGTCCTCCAAACTTGTGCATGAAAAGATCTCCCGGAACCTTGGCTCCCCCCCACATACGGAGGTGGGGCAATCGGCACCATATCTTCTTCTAGATATTCTACCTCCTCCTCCTCAGAGTTTTGTTGACCAATGTTAACTCCCTTCCCCTTCTTACAATAGGCCTGCGTGCCCTGTGTCTCCTTTTTCTTCTTTTTCATTTTTATCTTATGTAGTTGTTGTAACAATATATCAAGGTCCTCAGAACTCTCTGAGTCGCTTGTGTTCTCAGGCGTTTTTAATTCGGTCAAGTCTGGGTAGAGCCTTCTCCTATTTTTATCTTCAGGCTCTTTTGCCTTCTCACTACTGTTACTTTTAATACTCTCTGCCACTTCACTACATGATCCTTCAGATTTTTCCTCATGTAGTTGTTCAAGAACGGCCTGACCCTCACTCACAGCTTCTTGGCATTGACCATCTGTTATACATCCTCTAACTAACTTCCAAAGTGGTATAACGCCACCCTCTAAGGTGCCTTGCTCACAAGCAAAATCTAGATCTTTCCCTAATTTGTCCCAGCTAGGAATCCTAAGACTCCCTGAAAAAGCAAACCAAGGAGCCGCTATATCAGCTTCTCTCAAAAACATCTGCAAAGTGCTCTGCTTTATCTTAAGTCCTTTTGAATGTAACAACCCATCTAGGGCCAACAAAATTGGGCTTGAAGAAGCAACGCCCATAATGTTTTTAGAGCTATAAAGAAAGTGAAAGTACAAAAGTCCCCGCTCTCTTCCTTTTACAGGGGAGCGTTCCGTTCTATGAATTCCCCGCTGTCTCCCTTTTACAGGGGAGCGTCCCTGTCGTCACAACAACAAAAGAAACACAGAAAACAAAAGCGAAAGTACACAGTGCAGCTGCAATAAAATGTAATGTTCTCTCTTTCATTACAGAGGAGCTGCCCCGCTTTGGTCGCGGATCCCACTTACTAGGGACTAACCCCGCTTTGGTCGCGGATCCCACTTACCTGGGACTAACCCCGCTTTGGTCGCGGATCCCACTTACCTGGGACTAACCGGTGCACCACCCCTGACTGCTGAAAGTTCTGGTTCCCGGGTCTCGGCACCACTTGTCGCGACCCCTTGCCCGCAAGGAAGACGCAACTCGGGAATCTTCTTTCAACAGTTTATTCAGGCCCTTGATATTTCTTCTTCTCTCTCTCTCGGATGCCCCTCCCAGCCTTAATAAAGCATCCCAAGCCCCAATGCAAAGCTGCCGCGTGGAGCTTTCTCACAGGGTGGTGAAAAATCATGTGCCAACTCTCCCAGATAAGGAGTTGTTTGTCACAGACCACAGCGGAGCCAGCGTCATCTTGTAATGGCGACCATAGTCTGCAGAAACGGCAGAAGCGGCTCACCACACTCACCCCACTGCCCTCCACAGGCACACCAAAGGCCCCTGTGCAGAGGGTCTGAAATCCAAGGGGCAGAAGTGTCAGACCCTGGCAGCCACCCAGAAGGCAGGCCCTGCCCTGTGGCCTTGAGTGGGTGGGGCCGAAAGAGGATTCCTAATGAAGTTCAGGTCCATCTCTGGGGCTGGGCCTTATGTGGAAAGGGGCCTTGGCAAGCACAACCCATGTAGGATGGTGAGATGGTGGGGTCCTGGGTAAGTGGGTGTCCTCATGGAGGGAGGCAGAGGTGTTGAACCACAACGCAAAGAAAAGACCACCAACTCCATTTTAAATCAGATTAAAGCAAGCTTGCATTGTGTGCACAACGCTGGCCAGTGGTTGTCTCTCCCAAAGCCGGGCTAGAGATCAGCAGCCCAGGGTCCAGGTAAAAGGTTTTATGGCACAAAGAGTTACGAAGAGGGGTGTCTTGGGACCTTACAGCTAACGGGGTTCTGGCCAGCGTAATACTAGGGAAGATGGCAGGTTAATTTAGGAAGAATTTAGAATTTAGGAGGCGCTGCTGTTATTGGTCAGGGAGAGCCAGGCATGGGCGAGTTCAGAGCACGGGCAGGAATTCCAAACGAGTTTGGACATCAGGTTGTCAGGCCAAATAGAAGTCTTAGTGTTTTATAGTAAAAGAGAAATGAACTTTTCATAGGTCGTGATGATACGACTCTCAGTCTTCAGACGGAATTAGGCTGGGTTCATCAAGAGGGGACCTGACACAGAGGGGGGGAGCTGTGGGAAGACAGAGCAGGGGGAACAGCATCTGAGAGGACGGGAAAGGCCGGGGATGGGGACCTCGGCCTGGAAGCTGGGAAAACGGGGAACCTCTAGGGGCTTGGCCTGCCACCCTGTGACCCAGGCCCAGTCAGACTCCTGCAGGCTTCTGGCCTCCACAGCTGGGGGAGAATAAATATGCACCTTGTCACAGCCGCCACAGAACACCCCTAGGAGGAGCTCCAAGAACACCTGTGGAAACTGCAGGCCTCCAAGCATCCCACCCTGCAGCCGTGGACTCCTCTCCTGGTGCCTGAGGCCATTCAGAGCCCAGAGGTAAGCTGGTGGCCTCCACATCCCTCCTCTCAGGATCACACACTCCTGCTCAGGATGGAATGGCCCCCATCACCCTGTTGGGGCATGAGGCTCTTCTGAGGCTGAACTGGGGGCTTTTCACTAAGCAGGTGCTGATCAGGTCCAGGTGATATCCCTGCTGTTGGTGTCACCAGGATCCCCTTCAAGACCACCCAGCACTCCTTCCCCTCCCTGCCCAAGGCCCAGGTCTCAGCTAGGGGATGGAACTTTGCTTTGAGCTCCAACCACCCAGAACCTGATGGAGCTGACACCTACTCCAGGAAGCATGTTCCATCCCTACAGAATCCAGAGCTGACTGCAGAGGAGGCAGAGGGAGATGTCCCTCCCAACGCTGGGGGTAATGCAGAGGCCAGCTGTGGCTCAAGGCAGACCGTGTCCCCTGTTCTGTGCTAGCTAGGTAGGGACAGGAGCCCCGGGCTGTGAGTAGGCGTGCAAGGAGCCGGGCACCCCGAGAGCTGGCAGAGGCTTCCCCCATCCTGGTGAAGGGACACTTGGGCCTAGGACCCCACCCAGGAGGGGTGGCCCTGGCTGGCTCCTGCACCTGCAGGGCACCAAAGAGCATCCTGGGGAGGCTGAAGCTGGAGCTGGGGTGGGGCCAGCAGAGCCCAGACACACGAGCCCCATGAGACTGGACAAGGGCAGGTGGGCTGAGCAAGGAGGGTGCCCAGGACCATACACTGCCCCCAAAGCCCAAGCGGCTGAGGACACAGTATGAGTACCTCACAGATTGTCCAAAGGAGGGGAGTCTTGGAGCTTTGGGGGCACCCAGAAAGGAAGCCCACTGAGGAGTGGAGCAGGAAGACCCCCAGGGCAGGGGCCCACTGGAAAGGGTCTGATTTGTGGAGTCCCTGCTGAGGGGCTCCCACAAGAAGGGGCCATGAGCCTCACCTAGAGTGGCCCCCCTTCCCCACAGCCCTGGGCTGGTCCCCAGCAGCTGCCGTTTGCACGAGGACATCTTGGGCACATCTGCTGGCATGTTTAACCAGCTGCACTGCACCCTGGGCCCTGAGCACCTGGACACCTGGGATCAGGATGGGCACCAAGGGCAGCCCTTGGGGGCCACGGAGGCTCCGCTGGGGACCCTGGAGCTCAGCAGGTACAGAATTCAGCCTGGAGTCCAAGGCCATATGCCCTGGTACTGGCTGAGGCCCAGGGACTGCACGGAGCTGACAGCGCCTTCCCAGGGCCAGCTTTGTCACTTCTGTGAGGTCGTCATCACCAATGGCACCCGGCTTTTCCAACCCTCTATTTACCCACCTTAAGGTCCTCCAAGGGCACCCAGTTCCAGAAACATGCAACTCCCCTATGGCTCCAGGAGGTGAGAAGCTGGGAATGCGTGGAGTACTGAGGACAAGGGCCCTTAGCCAGAGGCTGGGGTCCAGCAGGATTCCTCCAGAAAGGACTCTGCTGGCCCCTCCCAACACAGCACACAGTAGCACAGCCGTCACTCTCCCTGGACCCAGGGCCCGGTCCCAAGGCTGACCCTGGCACCACCTTAGGGTTACAAGGCCGGGCATGGCCTGGGGCAGTCTGGGAAACTGTGGGGACAGGTGCAGGGTCACTAGGTCACAGCCCAGAAGAAAAGCCCCACCTCAGTGCTCAGCACAGAAACCTGGGAGACACAGCAAGTAGTCGAAGCTGCCCAGAAGGAAGCTGCCCGCTAAACCAGCAGAAGCAGTGGTCCCCACGAGAGGCTCTGCTGGCCTCTTGGAGGTCAAGAGGTGACCTGAAAAGAGGAGTTGAGAAGTCTGCTTTCCAAAGACCCCACAGTGGGCCAACAGGAAGCCTGGAGGGACACTTGCCACCAGGGGCAGCACTGGACACTGGTGCCATTCCAGGCCAGGCAGCTAGTCACGGCGTGGGGAAGGAGTTGGAGTGAGCACTGAGACACTTGAGTAGGTCCCAGGTGTCACTTAAATGACTTCAGAGTCTTCTTCAAATGACCTTCTTTAAAAGTGGACAATAGCCATTGCCGGCCAAGCAGAAGCGAAGGAGCCAACTGGACAGCACACCAGGAGGAAAGGTGCAGGGGCCTGACTCTCGCGGGTCCACTGGGGTTGCTGTGAAGCGGGGATTCCTGGCGAGAGTCCCCACTTGTTGGGAAGGGAGGTTCCTCTAGTAGCACTGGTCCACTGTGGTAACTTCTGGCCAGTGACTGACCCCGGTGACATTACCATGGGTTCACTTGTAGAGAAGCCCCTGGAATAGGATGGCCACCACCACCGATCCAGAGAGGACCAACTAGGGTCAAAATCTCCACTGCCCGGGGCGGAGGAGGAGTTGGACTCCCGATTAGGGAAGATTGCTGAAGGGGGCCCCAGTCCTCAAGGCAAACGATGAGTTTGACCCCCTCTGTCTTCCCTGCTCAGAGGTGAGCCGCCCTCTCCCTGAGGGGGCTCTGCGGGCTCCCTTGGCCTTCCCTCCCCTTCACTTGTGATACAGTCCTCTTGCGTGATTTTGGTGTCTGACTTTCAATTTTCTTTCATTGGAACACAAGAACCGAGGTGTGGGGTTTCCCTGTTCCCCTGTGGCACCAGGATGCAGGACTCGGGGTGTTCTCCTATTAGAAACACCTGGTGTCCCTAGGAATCCCACCTGGGCTGGGAAGTGGCTGGGCAGAGCAGGCTCTGCTTCTGCAGAAGGTGCGCTCCCGGCCTGGCTCACACCTGGGCAGAGTGTGCCTGCTCTATCCCCAGACCGCTCTGCCCCTTGCTCTGATGGGGGAGCTAGGGCTACACCTACACAACTGGCTAGTTCTAATTGGGACGGGAAAGGGAGGGGCTGTAGTTAAAATGGCATTGACTGGATGTGACATCACATTCAAGGCTGGACGCTGTATTCCGAAAATGGACCACTGGACTTCCTAGTTCTCACACCCCCCCCCCTTTAAACCTTTGGGGCTCACTTTCGCTTTGTTCTTGTGTCCTTTGGTCCTGCCCTGCATCCCAGACATATTAGCTTGTTGAGATGGCAATTGCCCATAATAATGAGTCCTCCCCTTTTAGCAACTCAGATAGTGTCCATGTCTATAACTTAACTTCAATGTCCCCTGCAAGGGACCTGCGCTCCAGGGAATGAAACTCTGGTTGGACACTCTGGGGGTCCCTGACCACCAGGCATCCCATCTTGCAAGACCATCACTGAAGTAAAGTGTTGCTTTCTGCTGTCCCTCATGTCTCCTAGTCCACTCTTTGGGCTTGGACAGGTGAGCATGTTCCTCACCCAGCCACCATCTTAGAAATAAAGACACACTCATTGGTTGGGGTCCCAGACCACTGGAGTCTTGGAGGGTTGGTCCTGCAAGGGAACTGCTTCTCAGCCAAGAAGACTGACATCTCACCAGCCCCTGGAGGAAAGCAGAAGCTCTGCCAGGATCCAGGATGGACCAAAGGACACCCAAAGTGGGACAGGCTTCACTTCATAATCCAAATTGTGAAACTGCACAACGCTTTTTCTTTAAGATTCTTAACATTTGAAACACCATTGAAAGTTAAAGCAAATAATAAATATAGAAAAAATAATCCAACAGTAAAGGACTAATATCATTAGAATGCAATGAATTTCAGCTAATGAAAGAAAGAACCAATCCACCTACCTGCTCCTGCCCCCCTGTCTGCCCCTCCCTGCTCCTGTACCCCTTCTGCACCTGCCCCTCCTCTGCACATGGGCCTCCTCTGCACCTGGGCCTCCCCTGGACCTGGGCCTCCTCTGCACCAGCCCCTCCCCTGCACATGGGCCTCCTCTGTACCTGAGCCCCTCCTGGACCTGGGCTGTTAGGTGCAGGGCAGGTTGAACTAAGTTGTCTGCAGGGCACGCTGAAGGAATGTTAGCTGCAGGATAACCCAGGCACTCAAACCCCCAACTCTCTGTTCCTTTATCATCTGTTTGCATCAAGTCTGAACACTCAACCCCACTCGACTGGGAAACCCACATCTGAACCCTGCTGCATCTTCCTGAAGGTAGAAGACGACACCCTTAGAAACTACTGTATGCTCCGATCACTGTACGCCAACAGGGCAGCTTGCACACCCAGAGACCCCATTAGATTTGGGCTACAAAAATTCCCTCCTGCTGGGGCCTCTCTCTTGCTCTCTCTCACTTTTAGTCTCTCTCCCTCTCAACCTCTTCCTCTCTCTCTCTCTCTCTCTCTCTCTCTCTCTCTCTTCTCCTCTTTCTCACTGGTGCAATACAGATCTCTCGGTCGCTCCAAGTGTTGTGGTCACTCTCCTTTCAGGGGCCTCCTCTGCACCTGGCCCTCCCTGCACCTGGCCCTTCCCTGCACCTACACCTCACCTGTGCCTCGTCCAGATTCCACTGGGACTGCATTTGTACCAAGGCACAGTGCATCCAGGATGGGGAAGGTCCTCTGGGAGTAAGAACCAGCGAGACCTCTGGTCACAATGGTGGCCAATTCCAGACAGACTTTAGAGAAGGGCCCAAGTCCAGGGGCATGAACACAGCCAGTGAGTGCCACTCAGCCCAGGCAGCACCCCAGAGCTGTGTCCTGGAGACCAACCTGTGGTGCCTTCACACGCACCTCCAGACCCCAGGAGCACGTCTCAGATCCAGAGTCCTCGGTCGGCCACCACAGAGGTGACCCCCAACCTGGCCCACCTCAGGCTTTCCTGGGTAGCGGCTCCTGCTCCCTGAAGGAGTGAAAAAGGCCCAGAGGGACCCACCCAGATGTGGGGGGCAATCTATCCACCAGGAAGCAGCACAAAGGGTGGTTCCTTGAGGGGGAGACCCTGGCCTGCAGTGGAGCCCAGGACACCACTAAGCAGGTCTTTGGCCACCTGCAAGGACAGGTCTTCCCAGTGCTCCCAGTAGGACAGCATGGGGCGCTGGCTGCCCAGGCCACTCTGAGGTCCCAGGTCCCCTTCTGCTGCTGGCTGGCAGTGGGACTGCAGCTGGGGCTGCATCACTGTGACATTACCTGATCTCAGTGTCCACCAAAACCCCCATGGGAGGCCAGAGCCCAGCGCTCCCTGCTGGCACCATGCCAGGGTTCTGCACGGGCCACACCCCGTGGGGGCAGTGGTCATGCAGCAGTGCAGCCTGCCATCCCCAAGTGGCAGCTGTCGCCAAAGCAAGCCCCTCCCCAGCTCCCCCAGACCCAGCAGGCCTCACCACCAGGGTCCTGCCCCCAAGGCCACCAAGGTGGTGTGGGAGCTCCACTGCACCCACCCAGACTGTCACGGAGAGCTCAGTCCTTGTCCCGGATGCCACTTCATGCCGATTTAATAAGGAGGACACGGTTTTCAGGAAGAGGAAAGGGAGGAGCAAAGGAGAAGAGCAGAGGACTCAGTCCCAGAGGCTGCTGTTCTGCCCCTCAGGGAGCCGAGGGCTTTAAGGAGCCATTCAAGGCCACAGGCCAGCTGTGCCCTGCCAGGTCCCAGCTGTGCCCTGAGGTGAGCTGCAATTCACTTCTTAGATCCTCAGCAGACACCTCCTTCCTGAGGTGGGGGTGTCCAAGGACAATCCCCTAGGGGGAGAAAAGACAACAGAGTCCCCCCATCTCCTTAGGGAGGGGAGAGGGGAGAAGAGAGGAAAAAAACTGCCCTTTTTAATCCTCAAAGCAACAAGGGCTCTATTCAACAGGTGAAGTGGACCACTGTCACAGAGTGCTGGTGCCCGGCCGGCTGCCCAGCAGGCTCCCCGCTTGGGATTGGTGAACAGAGGGGGCCACAGCTGGGCACTCCAAGATGCCCTCTGCAAGCCCAGGAACCCCTGTCTGCAGCAGCCTCCAGGATGGGGGTGGCCCCGTGCACTGGCTCTGCCCAGCCCCTGGTCACGGCCTGCCTGCCGGCAAGAGCAGATACCCCACCCTCACCCTACGCCCACATGTGCACCCCACCCCACACCCACACACCATCCACCACACTCCACTCACCAAGGGAACCCAACCGAGCTGCCAGCTCCACACTCCAAGACACGGATGCTTCCAGAGATCCTATCTTCCTCCCTCAGACCCTCCCAGTGCAGTCCTTGGGGACCTCCTGGGACACACTCTGCATCAAGACAGCCCTTTGGGGCAGCCCCACACCTTCACACCTGCCCCATGGCTTCAGCTACAGGGGGGCCTGCCTCCTGCCCACCCCCAGCAGGAATGTCACCGCAGGCCTTTCCAGGAAGAGGCCTGACCCCCACGTATTGGCAGTAACTGGGCACTGCTGTCTGTGGACTTGTTGAAAGCCTGGCCCAGGAGTTGGGAGGGGCCTCTGTCGGCAGGGCTTTTTGTGAAGGGCTCTCCTACTGTGTATGAGTACTACGATGAAAGTACTGGGAGTTACTATAGCTACCACAGTGGTAGACCCAGCAGCAAAAACCCCGAGAACCAAGGGCGTCCTGTGCTCACAGCCCTGTGGGCAGCAGGGGCAGGCACTGGAGAGTCCACACCCAGATCCCAGCATCTCTGCCCACCAGCTGGAGCCCGGGCACAGCAGGAGCCCACCAGCTGGAGGCTTTGGGGGCTTTGAGGTGACTGCACAGCCACATACAGCTCTGTGCCTTGGCGTCCAGCAGCTACTCCACAGAGCCCGGCAGCCCCAGCAGAAGAGGAGCCAGCTCTCCACCCCAGGAGCCAGAGGCCTCCAGCCTCATCCTGGCCTGAACCAGTGGGCTGCACCCCCAAACCTCCCAACAACAAAGACCCCCAGAGACCTTTGCCTCTGAGAGAGCAGGTAACTCTCCAGGCCCCACTCAGTCACCCAGGAACAGGTGCGAGAAGCACAGGAGGGACACCCAAAGTGTAAGCAGAAGCAGCCACAAGGTTCAGCAGCCACAAGGTTCATCACCCTGTGGAAGCACAGATAACCAGGAGGGAAACACAGCCAACAGGTCAGCTCTCACTCCCCAGAGTCCATCCCTCAGGCCCTGGGGATCCCTCTCTGGGCAGGAAAGGCCCCTGGTTACAGAAGGGGTGCAAATTTCACAGGGTACAGGAGGGCAGCTTAGTCACTGGAGACTGAAGACCTGGGATTGGACAGTCCTGAAACCAGTTGTGCAGGTTAAAATTTAACTCAGGAAGCAATTGTAAAAAGTTTAAACTCCTGGTTACCTGGAGGAGGTAGGGGCTCAGATCCCACCCACCGCTCTTCTTCTCCCTCTGGGATTCCTTGTTTCCCAGAGTTTCACATTTATTTATTTCCCTCCTTCCAGGACGAATGCTCAATGGGGAAGGGAAATGTCTTATTTTCCCTCCCTCCTCCACCCCAGGCCCTTCCCTTCTCCCCAGGGCTGTTTGGGGGATGTTCCCACCTTTCACAAAGTAGGGTGGCTCCTGGGAGCCCCAGCTCCACTGGCAGCCTCCGAGGGGGTCACGGACCACCTGGGGCCTGGCGGGGCTTGTGCTGGCTTTGCCTGGGAGCCTCGGGAAGCCAAAGGACAGCCCTGGAGCCGGCCTACTCCCTGCAGCATGGGGGCTTCCCAGTAGGCACCCAGAGGGCTCAGGGAGGGCCAGAGCACCCCACCCGCACTGACCAGAGAGGAAGGGGTGCCTCTGGCCTGTCTCAGACCCCTCAGGGCTGCAGGGATTCGTTCCAGGGGAGGACTGTGCCCAGGTCTGGGTCCCTGGGCAACCCTGGCCTCTGTGGTGCCGGTTTCTGCTGCCCCAGTGGCCCCTGCTGCCCAGAAGCTCCCCCAAGCCCCACCATGGCCCAGACCTAGTTAATGTCAGGGGGTCTCAGGCTGTGGTTGGATACAATGTCTTATATCCAAGTACAGTGTACTCACCACAGTGGTGCCACCCATAGCAGTAACCAGAGCCACTAGACAGGCTGCCGTCCCTGGCCTGGCGGCCCTCCTCAGGTGTGGGCGCTCAAGGCTGCTGATCCCACCTCACCCTGACAGTTTACTCCTCTAGGTGAGGGACTGTGTTTCACAGCTCCACACCAGGAAAGACTCCTGCCTGCCAATGCCGCCCAGCAAGGCCACCCAGCTCCTCCTGGGTCTCCAAGGCTGAGGCAAGCCACGTCACGGACTCCACTGTCCTTGCTCTCAGGGCAGGAGTCCTAAGCTCAGCAGGCTACAGACTGCTCCCCATGTTGTCTCAGGACCCCCAGCACCTGAGACCCTCGACGCTGATGTCCAGCCTTCCCCAGTGGCCCTGGACCCAGCTCTGAGTGTGAAGAGACAAGGAACACAGGTTGGTGTCCCTTGAAAGCCACTCCAGGGTCCTGAGCTCCTCACAGTCTGCTCACACCCCACCCCAATCTCTGGACTCCAGTGATGCTGAGCCTCGCAGGCTGGCCTCCTCAGCCCTGCTGTCCCCTAGAGCAGCCCACTGCGTGGACTCCTCCCCCACACTCCCTGGAAGACCCCTCCAGCCCTCCCTCCGGGGCCATGCTCAATTAATGTCAGGGGACATCAGACTGTGTAGCTGGCTATAGCTACCACAGTGATGCTGCCCAGAGCAGAAACTGGGGCCAGTTGGATGCCCCTCCACAGCCCCAAGCCTGGCAGCTGCCCCTCTATTCTTGGGCCCCCTCAAGGCCACTGATCTGACCTTGGCCAGGGAAGGATAGGCCCCTCTGGCGGGAGGTCCAGATTCTAGAGCAGAGGCAACTGTCCACATGTCCATGCGTGGCTGGAGGGTCAGAGCAGGGGTGAGGGAGAGAGAAACCCAGAGCCCCTGCATGGGGAGACGGCCCAGGGCAGAGCCAGGCCGGGGTCCTGCAGGGGACTGGCAGTGCGCCCTGCCGCCAGCATGGCCAGGTGGCACCTGCAGCCCCTGGGTGATCTGAGACAGGCCACAGCTGGGCCAGGCCTGAGCGGAGAGGGGGCCAAGGCCCAGTGCCCTGGAGAGCAGCAGGAACACAGAGGCCCACAGACTGCTCCAGGGCTCACGGGCCTCACGGGAACTGGCCCTCCCCAGGCTCCACCCTCGCCCCCCACAGCAGGGAAACTAGCATCAGGGCAGAGGACGGGACCCAGGTGACCAGGTGGCCAGACCCCCCGGCTACATCATGCTTTAGGAACCAACCTGCAGGTGAACCCCTTCCTGCTACGATCTGGGCCTCAGGGGGACTCAGGTCAGTTCCGGGGGATGTCCTCCCAGCCCCACCTACAGCTCACCATCCAGAGCACAACCCTCTGAGGGGCCCAGGGGAGATGGGGCAGACAACCCCAGGCCCTGGGGACAGACCATATTGTTGGGGCCTCTGTCACTGTGTCAATGGAGTAGCAACTACCACAGTGATGAGACCCATGTCCCAAAGCTATTGCCACTCACAAGGGCTGGGCTGGTCACCTCCACCGGTTCTCCCAATAGACTTAGGAGGCTACTGACTCCTCAGCAGCTACAGTCGGAGCTGGAGAGCCAGAGCAGGCTCCAGAATACAGCGGGCAGGCCACACCCAGCCCCTGGATGGCACCCAGTGTCCAAGGCAAAAAAGGGTATGAATGCCCCGAATTCCAAGCCACATGCCCGCGCCACAGAGGCCCTGTCTGGGGGCAGAGGGGCTCCAACCCACCAGGCTGGAAGCCACAGAGGACAGGAGCCCACTCCTCACAGAGCTCCTGGGGAACCCTCAGAGTGTGAACAGGGAGGACAGTCATCTGGGGGGTCCTCAGGAGCCCGGCACTGTTTCCAGGGACGGCGTCTCTCCCTTCCCTCTCTTTGTCCTCATGTCCCCTTCCACAGAACGGTGGGGACACCATCCAGGAGGGTGGCTTGTGGGCACGGGGCGCCTAGGTGATCTGCTAAGAGGCTGTGTCAGGGTGCACTGTGAAGTGCTGACTGTGTTTGGCCACGTTGGCTCCCAGGTGCAGGCTGCAGAGCAAACACGTACAGATCTGCTGTCCTCGCTGAGACGACCCCCAGGCCAAGGAACCAGCCACCTCCCCGCCACCCTGGGTCTGCCTGGCCCCAGGTGGCCCACACCTGTAGCCCACATCCCCCCTCCCAATGAGCCAGTCTACCCAGCCCTACTCACGTGAGACCCTTACTTACTGCTCACCAAGAAAGGCCTGACGTCCTGAACAGATTCTGAGCAGCCCTGAATCACAGTGGATATAGCTGGGAGTACCACAGTGAGAAGAGCTCTGTCCAGAACTGCCCACGGCAGCTGGGCACCACAGCCCACACCCGCCCTAAAGGGTCTGGGGCCTCCACCTGCAGGACTCAGGTGCCACTCCCCTGCCTCCCTTCCTGAGAGAAGGAGCCAGTGCTGCTTGCAGGTGGGGGCAGTGGGCCCAGAGCAGCCTGGCCCCACCCTCCAGGTTCAGAGACCCAATGCCCTGCCCTCGTGGAGCCTGGAGCTCAGCCAGACTAGGGCACAAGAGATGCCACCCTCCCCCTGGGCACCTCAGCTCACAGGAAGCAGATAAGTTCCGGGCCAGCTCCGGGAGAGCCCCCTTCCGGCCACCCCTTCCTGCCAGGCCCTCCTTCCCTCCTGTTCTGCACAGGACAGCACAGGGGCAAATGCAGCTTTGTGCCAACCTGGGGCTGCCCTGCACACGGTCTCCTGAGAGTCCTTCTGTGCAGCTCTGAAACTGGTCCTAAACGTCAGAACCAGCCCTTGTCCCCACGTTGAGATTAAACACCCGAGAAACTCCAAGGCAAGAGAGAAAAGCAAATTTCACTGAAGAAACAGAAAAGAGAAAGGGAGAGGGACCCCTGCAGAGACGGGGCGTCCAGAGCTGTCCCCGAGGAGGGGGTGTCTTGCCCTTTTCTGGATTCAGGCTTCCTTTCCTCTCCTGCCCCCTCCTCTCACCCCACTGCCTAAAGGTGGGAATGACCACATGCAGGAAAGGAGCCCGAGGGGTGCTCATTAGCACCTCTCTGCTGGGAGGGGCAGGTCCCTGGAGGCAGGGGAGCCTGGCCACAGGCTGGAAGACGGGCAGGTGCCCTGGAGGGTAGCGTCTCCTGAACCGGCCGCCCGTGGGACCCACTCACTCGTGGCTACACTGACCCTCTGTCCTCTGCCCTGCCTCCAGTTTTCCTCACTCTCCCTCTCGCTCCTGCGGAGGCCCCAGAGCCCCCTGCGTGTCCCTCAGTGGCCAGGGGCTGGGGAGAGCTGCAGGGCCACATCTCCACTTCCATCACACCAGCCGCCAAGTAACACGGGAAAGGCAGCCAGGAGTCCAGAGACAAATGTTCCAGAAACTTCTCTCACCACCCGGAAGAAAAGAACCCAGAACAGTCCATTAAAATATATTTCACTACTTAAAAATGAGAAAATAACCCTTTAGCTGCTACGTTCTAGGGGCAGGGGTCAGTGTCTCTGTGCAGCAGAGAAGTGAGGCCCAGGACACAGAGGCCACAAGCGACAGCTGCAGAGTCAGGCTTCTGCAGAGAGAAGGGCCCACCGGGGAGTCCAGGGGGAATTGGGGCCTGTTCTTCTTATGGTCTCTGGAGTCTCCACCTTCCCTTATCTCCTCCCTGTCCACGTGCTCCTGGCCATTATTGATGGGTGTCCCCTCTGTCCACACGTCTGTTTGAGTTCTTTCGTTAGGTCCCCCACTTAGGGGCACGAGTAGGGAGGGGTCTGTGTGATTGGGTCCCAGGCATGCCCACGCGCACTTTGTCCAGCAGGAAGTTGACCTCACCAGGAGACCCTCTCCGTGCGCCTTGTCCTGACCCTGCCCGGCCCCCTCCCTCGCCATCTTGCCCTGGCTGCCTAGGCCTCTACATCTCCCTCATCCCTGCTCTAGCGGATACCCCGACCACTGTTGGGATTTGGCTCAGTGACCACTCTATCTACTTCAGGCTGACAAGGGGCGTTGTTGGTGTCACCAGGATGTCCTTCTGCGGAAGGTCTAGGGCAAGAGGGAAGCAGCAGGCTGGTCCAGAGGCCAGCACTGAGGACGTTCATCCGTGGGTCTCTGAGGGGTCCGTGGTAGGGCTGGAGGGATGACCACGGGGCTCCATTGGTAACACCACCTGGAGTTTCATTGTCTCTACACAAGAGGAAACAACATGAATAAGCAAATTGATAATGTAAGGACCAAAGAGAAGAAAGGAACAGGCCACCCGAGGCCAAGGACAGGAAGAAACCGTGAGGTAGATGTCACAGCTGGGGATGGGCTGTGGGACTGAGTGTCCTCTGCACCTTTTCCTGAAAACATTTTCTCCGTGAGGATATGAGTATGGTCTCTTCCCAACGGTGGAGCTGAGGGGGAGACTTGAAAACCTCCCCTCGGGTGCTGGGGAAGTAACAGGGTGCCCTCGGGAGAAACCCCCTCCTCTACGACCCAGGTGGGGTCCTTGAGAGGCAGCCGGTCGGGCCTCTTCCAGTGAGAACTGGGGCGTTCAGGGGACAGGAGAGGATTTCCCACAGGAGCAAGGCGGCTGTGGGACCCGGTAAACAGCTGCCTTGGCTGCTACGTCTCATGTCCAGGAACATGAGGCAGGAGGTGGACTAGAGGCAGGATTTGGCCTCAGGAGGCGAAGAGGTCCTCGGCGTGCCAACAGGAGTGTGCGGTGGTGAGCAAGCCCCGCTCCCCAGGCAGCGGCCTGAGCATAGGTACGAGAGGGGCATGTGTAGCTACTGTGCACCTCGACCCTCTTGTCTTTAGAAGGCTCTAGGGCCAGGGGGTCGGGGGGACAACCGATTCTGGCTCCTGCGCTCTGGCACTAGCAGGAAGTGGCCCTGATTCCACCTCAAAGTCTGTCCCTGCTGCACACCCAGATCTCCGAGTGCCGTCGGTCACTGATGAACTCCCAGGGGTGGACAGGGTCAACTGGACTATCTACAGGATGATCAGGTCCCTCTGGGCTGGCAGCGCAAGTGTCCACTAGAACTCCTCACGGGAGTGGAGGGCCTTCCTCTACCTCAGGTAAGAACGCGGCGGCACCGAGGTCATGACAAGCCTTTCAGGTCAGTCCAGGTCCTTCCAGCGGGGCCTGCTGCTGGAGAGTGCAGCTGTCCATAGCCTGAGCTGCCCTTAGATCTCAGGATGCTCGAGGCCCTGGGAGGGCAGGACAGGAGGGGCCTCCCCAGGGTGAGTGTATGTGCCACGGGCACCAAGAGCCCACTGCAGCACGGCTCTGGGACACTCAGGCCACCCTGGCCACCTCGTCCAACTCCTTACTTAGGTATCTCACTGGCTGGGAGGGGCCCCCAGTGATTGAGTGACATTGCCACACAGAAAAGTCAGCTGGGCGGCCAGCCCAGAGCAGAGCTCCTGTGCTCAGAAGGAATTTCACCTGGGGCTCGTCCATGAGCAAGGTTACCAGAGCTCCTCCTGTTGGACCAAAGTCACAGGAGCCACCAAGGGAGTCAGTCTCGGGACCTGTCATTGGGAACTGGTAGGTGGTGGCCTCGATCCCTCAGGTCCCCAGGACTCTAGCCCACCAGTGGTTCCCCGACACAGAGGACAGGTCAGGGAGGCAGTCCACACGTGGTCAACACCTCTGGGGACAATCCTTTTAGAAGTGGCTTTCTCTCCGTCAAGAGCAACAGGAGTGCAGGAGGACCCCGGGCCCCGCTCACAGGCTGCCGTCTGTCCTCCCTGTCCTCTGTCCTCCTTGTTCTCCTCTGCAGGCCTCTATTATGAAAGACCACAGCAGCTAGGCCAAAGGTCCAAGGTCGTGTCTGGCTCCACAGCGCGTGTCCGCAGCTCCCTCCCCACGTCTGGAGAGGACTGGGTAAGAGTCTACCTGTAGGACTGACTTCCAACTCTGGGACCCACAGCTAGTGTGTGGAAAGGGCCTCCCACAGGAAGGTCACCATGGCTCCTCTCCCCTGGAACCTCGGTGGCCAGCAGGGCATGAATGGAGCTAGTGTGGGCTCTCCTCAGTCCTCCTGCCACCCAGTGTACACAGTGATGTCCATCTGGTCCTCAGCTCTCCTGACACCCAGTGTACACAGTGACGTCCCCTCCTAACTCCCAGTGTACACAGTGACATCCATCTAGTCCTCTCTCCTGACACCCAGTGTACACAGTGATGTCCATCAGATCCTCAGCTCTCCTGACACCCAGTGTACACAGTGACGGCCGTCCTGGTCCTCGGTCCTCCTGCCACCCAGTGTACACAGTGACGTACATCCTGGTCCTTGGTCCTCCTGACACCCAGTGTACACAGTGATGTCCATCTGGTCCTCAGCTCTCCTGACACCCAGTGTACACAGTGACGTCCATCAGATCCTCAGCTCTCCTGACACCCAGTGTACACAGTGACATCCATCTAGTCCTCTCTCCTGACACCCAGTGTACACAGTGACGGCCGTCCTGGTCCTCGGTCCTCCTGACACCCAGTGTATACATTGATGTCTTTCCTGGTCCTCGGTCCTCCTGACACCCAGTGTATAAAGTGACGTCCCTCCCATTCTGAGACCCTCTTGAGACCCAATGTATACAGTGATGTCTGGCCCATTGCTCTCTCTGTCAGTGTCCCAGTGTGGTTCAGGGCCTGGACCCCAGGCTCCCCGGGGAGGCCCCACTCTGCCAGCCAGGGTTGCTCTCCTCCTGCTGCAGCAGAGCCCTCTCTAAGACCTTGCGCTTTTCAAGGAAGGTCCAGTGTACTGAGGTCAAGGGGACCCCGTCCTGCACAGTCATAGAGACTGACCACCACTGGAAGGTGGAAGGCGGCTCTGGCTCAGTGCCCTAGGTCTTTCTTTATGTCCTCTGATTCAGCTCGTGGAAGGGGACATGTACCACCTCAGGTCCACACCCCTGCCCCAGCATCGCCCTGAGAGGACACAGCCCTGAGCAGCCGACGTCCCAGCACCTCTGGGATCACAGGGGGAGTGTCCCTGGAGGAGGGGCCTGGGCTCCCGTCCTTTTAAGTTGGGTCGTAAAGGGGAAGCTGTATGAGGACCCATGATCTCTCCTTCTGATGGGCTCAGGGGACCTCTTGAGCAGCTGCTAAGGCCCCTGTCCTCTGTCCAGGTTTTCCTGTTCTGGGGTTTGGTGTCTGGCTCAGGGCAGCAGACAAGGGTCTGAGGGTCAGGCGTGCAGTCCTCTAGCTCAGGACGACGTCTCAGGTAAAGGAACAAGTGGACTAAGGAGCTTCATCCCTTTACCCTCCTGCTACAGGAGAGGTCTCCTTGCTGAATAGTACTGTGATTTAGGGTCCCCCAGGGGCCCACTGTCCTCCCTCTCCTAACGGGTACTGGGGCCAGGCCTCAGTGCAGAAGATCAAGGTTTTCTCGTTAACTGGGGTCCAAACTCCCAGTTCTAGAGCAGAAGGGAGAGGGGTAAGTCACAGGATTTTGGAAGAAAGGGATCCCCTCTGGAAACAAAAAGAAAGAGGTGCTGACGGGAGCCGCCCACCCCCACCTCACTCTGACAAATCCAGAGGGTGGCATGGCTTGCCCAGATCTCTGCACAGGGGACCGTGTCCAGGTAGGGACCAGCCAAGCCTACCCGTGGCCTGTCTTCCATGTCCCCGATATTTCTTTTTGCAACCCAGATCTCTGTGCTTTCACTCCTAGAAAGCGTGTATTCCCACCTTATTCCTATCAAAATGGGATTCAGAATTCCCAGGAGCACAGGAATCTGGGGGCGGGGGCCTCTGCCTGTAAAGGGTTTATGCTGGAGTCTGAGGTAAGAGCAGCCAGCCCACACTCACGGGTCTCTTTCCTGCGCAAGGCGGTTCCCAGCAGCTGCTCTAAATCAGCCACTGAGAGTCTTGTTTGTTTTTCTTCCTTCTGGAGGGTCCTTAAACCCACAAGGAAGGGAGACAGGGGTTTCTACAATGTCTCCAAAAACAAGGAGTTCCTCTGTCATGGGCCTTTGATCAGGGATCACGATGCTGAAAAAGGACAGGTTTGGGCATAAGGTAAAGATGAGTGAAGAGCAATGTAATCTTAACTGATACCTGTGTCCCTCAGGAGGAGAGAACATGCTAATCCTGTCGTGGATGGTGTGGCCGAGAGAAGACAAGGAGGAGCCCAGTCAGTCTGGAATCAGTGCCAGCCATGGCTGCGGCTGCCCAGCCCGAGAGCCACAGAAGGGACAGCGGACCATGGTCACTTTCCAGGCCCATCAGCTGTTTGAGGTGACTGCTACTGACCCGAGTCGATGGTTCCAATCCCAGTCGAGCCCTCGATTCCATTACTGTCAAGGGGGCAGGGGGCAGTGTCTCTGTCCAGCAGAGAAATGAGGCCCAGGACACAGAGGCCACAGCAGGCAGCAGGTTTGCTGAAAAGCGACAGATGCAGAGTCAGACTTCTGCAGAGAGAAGGCCCAGCGCAGAGTCCGGGGGGAGTTGGGGTCTGTTCTTTATGGTCTCTGGAGTCTCCTCCTTTCCTTTTCTCCTCCCTGTCCACGTGTTCCTCGTCATTATTGATGGGTGTTCCCTCTGTCCACATGATTTAGTTCTTTTGAGGGTCCCCACTTAGGGGCATGAGTAGGGAGGGGTCTGTCTGTCGGGGTCCCAGGAGTGCCCACGTGCACTTTGTCCAGCAGGAAGTTGACCTCCCCGTGCGCCTTTCTCTGGTCCTGTCCCGACCTCCTCCCTCACCTGGCCTCCTCACTAACCTTCCCCTGACTGCCCAGGACTCTGCATCTCCCTCAAAGCAGGAACATCCAATCCCTTCTACAGGGAAAACCCACTTAGCCTCAGATTTCTCCAAAAAATAAATAAATAAATAAGGTGATCCATGTCTATAAAATTCTACTGAAAACAAAACATGATCCAAGAACTTTATGATCAGCAAAACTGCATTTAAAATCCATTTTCCACATGCACAAACTGGGGGACACTCTTCCCCAGAACAAACTCTACGTAAATATACAGATTTACACGTGAATAATGGACATGTAGGATTGACTTGTTTATTTCTGTTTATCCGACTTGTATAGAATATGACAATGGAATTATGTATTTGAATGACTTCACTCACCCACGACAGAACATGGTACCCGCGGGGCGCGACAGCGCCTCCTGGAGCCCAGGAGCAGAGCTCTGCAGCGCGGTTCGCCTTCCCCTCTGGTCCTGGGGCTGGCTCCTGAACTTGGGATGGCCAGTGCTGAGAGTCCCCGTGTGACAGTGAGGTGTGGCTGGGGCCTTGGCAGGGTCAGATCTCAGGGTCAGGACTTCCACCCACCTGCCCCCAGCCCCAGGGAGGGGAGAGGGGCTGAAGGCTGAGGGGCCATCCATGGCCAGCGCACTGGATCCTGCCTGCACGCTAGAGCCTCCGGGAGACCCAAGGGGGAACTTCTGTCACTGAATCAGGAGGTGCCAGGAGGGTGGCGTGCCCGAGGCAGGGGACCTGCACCCTTCCTGTGCCTTCCTGCAGCCTCTTCTGAAAACCGGTGATGACTTCACAGTAACCCGCCCACAGCAAGAGTCCCCAGGTCTGGGAGCCGCACCAGGCCCTCATCCCAAGAGGGTTCATGGGAAGTCTGACTGATAGCCACTCGTCAGAGCCACAGGTCACGGGCCACCTAGAAGGGCCCAGTCCTTGACCTGAGAGTCTCCAGGTGGACAGTGCCAGGTCTCATAGGATCAGGGGACACCGGCTGCTGCTGCTGCTGCTGCTGCTGCAGAGCTGATGGCTTTGCTTGGTGTGCAGGGAGCCCCCACACGCCGGGGGTCAGAAGCACACTGTGCAAGCACAGGAGACCATGCTTGCTTTCTTCCCTGTGCCTTTAGAAGGTGGGCACACAGGCATCAGGGTGAGGTGGTGGAGCTGTGAGTGTACGTGACAGCATACATACGGCACAGAAAGCTGGGGCCACCAAGCTGGAGCATGTGGCTGGCAGGACCCAGGTGCATGCCAGGCAGAAGAGCTGTGTTAGAACCTCTAGAGGGACCACCAAAAGTAACAAGGGGCAGAGCTGAAGTGCAGCAGACTTGCTTCCCCAGCCCAGTGCTGCTGCGCTTACAAAGCACAACCTAGTGGCTCTGGCAGAACCCAGAGCGACAGAGGCTGCCATATGACAGCACCATCATGCCAGCCTAACGGGACTTGGTGCCCCCTCCGGGGTTGTGCTGCAGGAGGTCAGAGTGGCTGTCCAGCAGCCTGCAGTGTCCCTGCAGCCACACTTTCAAGGGAATGAGGGTGGGGGATAAGGTGGCCAAGAACCCTACACACCTGTCCAGAATGAGGTCCAGCACTTGCCTTTGGGGACTCCATATCCAGACAAAGCCACTGAGCCCGAACCCCTAGGATGAACAGCCCACAGTGATCATCACCCAGGACTCAGCACAGGCTGGGAAAGGTGACAAAGATTAAGGCATAGAAACATCTGTGTAGAGTCACATCTGGTATCAACTTACATCACATTCTCCCCCTTCCAGGCTTTATAAGTTAAATATAATTTGTGCCCTGAAAATTCTTGTGTGAAAAAACGCAAGAAAGTTTAGAGGGGAAATGATGGGTTTATGAGAGCCTTAACCGAGTCAGTGAGTTAATCCACTTGAATATATTAACTAGATGATACCTATAAGCAGGAAGGGTGTAGCTAGAGAAGGTGGGTCATTGAGCATGACGTTGGGGTTTATATTTTGTCCCTGGTGGGCTAAGTTTAGTCTTTCTCTGTTTCCAGATTGCAACATCCTAAGCTACTTCTCCCCACCATACTTTTCACCATAAGGTTCTGCCTACCTTGGGCCCAGAGCAATGGAGTCAGCCATCTAGGGACTGAGACCTTTTGAAACCATGATCCAAAATAAACTTTTTACCTTCTCTAATTGTCCTTGTCAGTTCTCTTAGCCACACTGATGAAAACAATGACTAAAACAGGAGTTGGTACCAGGAGTGGGGTCATTACTGTGACTAACCTGACCATGTGGTTCAGAAGTTTTTGGAGCTGGTTTGCGGAGGGAGAAATTTTGGAAACATTAGTGATACAAGCTGGAAATACTTCAGAATGTTGTAAGCAGAGTTTATTGGGCAAATCTGGTGGGATCCCAGAAGACCAGAATGCCAATAGTGAAGCCAGATTTAAAATTAGGTAGTCAATGTAGTTAGGTAAATCGGGTCTAATATCAGTGAAATCTAAAATGGAGGCCATGCTGATAATGATTCTGGAAATGCAGGACAACTCATGGAATGGAAAGGCCCTAGGCCAAAGTCCACCCCAAAGGAATGTTAATGGAACCCAGGAAACAGCCCCCAACAGAATGGGAGATAGCCCATCCCAAAGAAGTGTTAATGAAGTCCTTCCTGCCCAGATTACTTGTTTGGCCCACCTGTGTCCCAACCCTTCCACCTTACATTCCATCACCAAAACTATAAAAAGGGGAGTCAACCCCACTTCCAAGGATTCCACCTCTTGGGACCCCTTCTTCCTCCAGGAGAAGTCTTTTCTGCTGTCCTTTAATAAACTTCTAATTTCTATCTGACCTTGCTCAGCATGCTTCTTTGGTGTTATTCTTCAACATTGGGGAAGCAAGGACTCGTCACTGGTCAACAGTGGTAACATATTGGAGGTCCCACGGAGACTCTACACCTACACCGAGGTAAGCGCCTCTCCACGCACCCTATGTCTGTTTGAGGTGCATCTTTCTCTCTCTTTCTTTCTGGAGGGTAAGATGGGCACCCGACGGCTACTTAAACGCAATTAGTGCAGACGCCTCTCTTCAAGACTCGGGTGAGAGGTTTCCCGGCCTAGGCAGCTCTCAATCACCTGTTCAATACAGAGCAGGCATGTTGGGTTCTGCCAAAGCCGCTTCCAACTTTTCTGTCTGGGTCCGGAGAGCAATTGGCGTGAGTATACAGTGTCCCAATTCCTGATCTTCCTTTGATGCGTGGAGTTGGAGGAAGGAGTTTGGAAAAACCACGGAATTATGGTCTGGGCTACACTCAGACGTATTCCTAAGGTTCCTTTCTCTTGAGCCCCCTCCTGACAGCCCTAAGGGGTATCTAGGGTGATTGGTAGATGAATGGCACTGAGAGAAAGCCCCAATCACATTTGCTTCTGTATGGGCTACTCAACACTCCCAACCTCGCATCCATTCCTCCTGGATGCTCCCCTTCCTTTGCAGGTCAGAAATGTTAGCAATTCAGGTTGTAGGACTGAGACAAAGGCATGGGATAATTACTAAAATCTGCCCAGGTTCCCTAAGATGCATAGGTAACTTTCACTAGTCTGTTTTACCGCCCCAATGTTTAAAATGAGCTGTGTTCTCTTTAAGCTGCTAGAAAGACATTTTTAGAATCAACTCCTCTGATAGAAATCTCTGATAGAAAGCACTACCTTACAATGGGTAGATTTCCCTTAACCCTTAGGCCATTCCTTTAGTCTACAGAGCAAAGGCAACAAAGGAGTGCATGATTATCTTTTGCAATGGGTTTTTAGTGGCCAGGAGGATAAGCAGTAATGCCCTTAAGTCTGAATCCTCCCAGGGTCTCTGGCACAGGGCCAACTGAGACCCTAGCATTTTGCCAAAGGGGACCAGAAACACCCTTGGCAAAGAAAGGTCAGAGACGGGTTTTCTGGACCCTTTAGGAAGCTCAAGCTTAGGGAGATGTCCCTAATGAGAACAGTTTTCTCTGGCGCGGCGGGGGCGCCTGAGTCCTGTTTTCTTCTCACTCAGATGGGAGCTTCTCTCTCTCCAATATGCCAGGTGCACCACTAGCCTGCGTATTGAAAAATTGGGATAGATTTGACCCTCAGACGCTCAAGAAAAAGCGCCTCATTTTCTTGGCCTGGCCTCAATACAAACTCTCTGATGGAGAAACCTGGCCACCAGAGGGAAATATCAATTTTAATACAGTTTTACACTTTGATAAAGTTTACAAAAAAGGGAAATGGTGTGAGGTGCCATATATTCAGATTTTCTTTGCTCTAAGGGAACATCCTAAATTATGCCAACAGTGTAAAGTAGACTTACCTATGATGTCTGCCATGAAGAGAAAAAATCTTGGGGACTCACTGAGGAAAAACAATCAGGAGGACCCACAAAATCTCTATTTGCTGGCCTCTCTGCATCTGCCCCGACAGGCAAACCAATTATATTACCTCTCCAGGAGATGCCAGAAGGAGAATTTGGGCTGATCAAAGTACATACCCCCTTCCCCCTTCAAGAACTAAGGCAGATAAAAACTGACTCTACTGGAAAGTTAGGAGATATGCCAGATTGCCTGGGATTGGATCTAACCAAAGGAGTTAATCCTGTAAGTAAAAGGGGAGACTGAGGGACTCCCAGCAGCTGCCAAAGCCATTTCACTTTGGGGAACCTCCTCATTTCT